AGCGTGAAGGAAATCAAACGCATTCGTTGCTCGTTTCTCCCCCTCTCTTCTCCTTTTGTCACACATTATGTGACATGGTCAGCCAGAGGATGAATGAATGAATGAATGAATGCATAAGTGAATGGAGCAAACGGAGAATGCGTGTGAGGAGAGGCGGCAGGAATTACAGGCAGCTGTTCACACCTGGTTGTTGATCCACGCGCTGCTGGGGACAATAGATCTTTGTTATGTGAGGAAGCTACTTTGATGATAAAGTGCTTCCGACCAACGTGGGTCTATTTCTTATCTAAAAATGTGGAACCTGTCTCTATATAACGTTCATCCGAATCCGGCATTGCTGAGAAGAATGTCATGGTCCAACTACAGAAGAATCATGAAGTACCAACTCGTAAGCAGTTCCCTTGACCTAGACATTCTTTCTGAATTATATTCCCTGGTGCGAACAACTTACAGTGGTTCAAAAAGTGGTACATTAGATGAATTAAACATTCTTTGCAGATGAGGGGCTATTATTCCTGGCCTTATTCCCATAATAAGTAAAATGCTCTAACGAATAAGTTGATTGTTCTTCATTTGTAAAGCAATTTTCCGCTGGAACTATGAGTATTAACTATTTAAATACTGCACTGCAGTAGTGTTTCCGAGAACAATGATATATTGTAGTCTGTATCCGTAATTATAAATCACACCTGCAGGAAAGTTGAATGTTCAAAATTATGTGAATCTATGTTTTATCGCGAGACTGAAGTCAGAAGACTATAGCAATACAAAAATTGGATACTAACAATTGCATGAACTTCTTTTTTTGAAGCAGATTTAAATAAAAACAATTTTTTTACTATTTTCACACTGGAACTTACAAGCCAACAGAATCTATATTATATAGGAGAAGATGGATAAAGTACCGTAAATCGACACTTACAAGTCATATACAATACTCTAGCATTTGCAAATTCTGCGCATATTTTTACATTCAACGTTTTAAAATGTGATGTGGGCATTTCCTTGCTTCTCACTTGTTCTTATCTGAAAAAAGTTGCTCCATCTAATTACAAGTTTTCAAGTACAGCACTGTAGTACATGGAGATGTCAAAATGATTCAGGCACACTTTTTTCATAATTTATAACAAAAGGCGGGTTGAAAGAAGATATAGANGTACACGTCATTGTCGGCGCCACTCGGGCCGCCGCCGCAGACACAGACGCCGACGATGCAGCAAATGACGATACTCGGCAATAAACCCTTGATTAATGGACAAACCCAGCTGACGAATTGTGAGTAAATTACGATGACATCCATGTTTGTGTGAGAACTCGATTCAATGCGAAATTTAGATTTTCAACGCAGAGTTTTCTTGGGGTATTTAAGAGTAAATTCTGTCGATGTCTTCTTGTCTGCATTTTTCCTGTTTGTATCTGCGGTGATAATAAGTAAATTCGCCGCCTAAAATGGGTTTACATTTTAAAGCATTAATGTTGTCCACATTCAAAGACACGTCTTCTAAAAATATGCTAGTAATTCAATTATTGTTTCTTTGTGGACATTTCTACGTTTATAATATATATAAAAAATAACTACTGTATATATAACCTATGTAATATTATAATAATAACTTATATAAGCTATTATTCTACTGCATTACGATTTAAAATCCCTGCGATGTTGTATGAAGAAACGCCTACACACTGTTGTTCTTTGGGTTCTTCCTTTCCAAGAATACTGTGTATAATTTTCAAAGCCAAATGTAAGTTAATTAAAGATTAGGAACCATGATTATTCATAGAAAATTCCGCTTTTGTAGTACAGTAACACGGAAAAAAGCGCGATTTTTTTCCCGTTTGAGGAACGGCCGTGGTTAATGAATGCGCATTAGTCTTGTTTCAAATTAAAAATCTATACTGGAAACGACATTCAAGTGATACATACTGAGCCATGAAAACCTTATATTTTTCATGAACGGTGTGTGGCAAATCATTGCCCAGTGTGCCACCAGTAATTAGTTTACCGTTGGTTCAAAAGCTCCCATTCAATCCAATTTCAAATACGCACCCACTCTGTAATTATTGTATTTGTCTTTTCCTTCCTTCCTTTTGTGTCAATTTAGGGACGCAGTAGTAAAAATCGTTCGCACAATGTTCCAAAATATTTTTTTTTCGAGTTTTCAGGGCTTTTTGAAAATGTTTCTTATACTGAATATTCGCAGCATTTTTTATTGGCATCAATTTTGAATTCAAGTGGCGGGAGTACGTGGGACAAGTGTTGTCAGGAATAAACCCAACAAATAATGAAGATTAGTTTAAAGAATCTAGAGATGATGAGATAGATTGAATTTTTAAGAGTAAAACACGAGAATTTGGTTGGGCTGCGACCAGGGTGAGATCACCCTATTATAAGGTTGATATATTCAAAGATTTGATTGACACTTGATGAAATTGCTCACAAAATCTTGGAGTAACCACACACACAAATGCAGAAGCTGGACTGTGCAGAACATCATGAGTTTTTGGAACAGGAAAGCAGTCCTTCAAAGACGCGATTTAGCAACAGGATTAGTAGAGAAATGTAGCCTTGGAGGCTTCCGTAAGTTATGTGAGAACCAAGGTTTTCCGAGGTTCTCACAGAAAGTGGAATTTGTCCCCAAGGACGAGAGTTTGGGTTTTCAATTTAACTTGCTAAAAATAGAACTAAAAAATTTGCGACAAGTGTCATGATAACGGAAGAAAATTTCTCAGTAAATCCTTTAGAATTAGATTTGCTTTTAAATTATGCTTTTTTACAGCATCAATTCTTTCATGAAAATTTTGATTTCAGTTAAATTGCAATGTTTTTTTTGCCGCGCTCTTGATTTGGTGCGGTCTACTGATTCAGAATTCTTTGTCGACATTATTAAATGATTTATGGAACCGTTGTAAACCAACTTTTGACATCCCAGTTAAAAAGGACTGTGTTAATTGGTTCATGCACTGTAATAATGTTTTGGAAAACAAGTATCGTGCAGCAAAATGTCTTGAACATACTGTTATACAGTAACAACTTTGTACAAATGATTTTAAATTTACAAGGCACCACTGCAATGAGTTATCCCGAATGTTCTTCCTTTCAATTGTTTCTAATATACAGGTGGTACATTGCAATTCAACCATCCCACAATATTTGATGGTTGAATTTGCATGGAGGTCAACTCGCAATTTCAGCTCTTTCCCGAAATTTGACCTGTTTTAGCCTCTTAACCAGTGTTTTTGTGCTTTTTGTCCCTGATTTTATCCAGTGTCTCGAAACTTGATCTTTTTGCAATTTGATCCTAGTTTGGCAACTAATTAGGGTCAAATTGCGAGGTACCACCTGTATGACGTGGAGATAAATGGAAGGCACAGTGGTATTGTGCAGCAATATTTTTAAAATTCGAATTTACCAAGTTTTCATGGCTTTGTTCAGTTTTCTCTACCAAGAAAATTTCATATTCTAATTTTTATTCGCCCTGCTCATCATGCTGTGCAGTTAACTTTGAAATTTTACGCAGGAATGTGACCTCAGCTGCTTTTTTGGACTGACTTTTGATCCCTGGTCACAGGACTTTAATGTTTGATTAAATACCGTACATTAATTTCACCCCGCACCACTGATGCTTGAGAAAACGAGTCCCAGCTGAGAAAAAAAAAATTGGAAACATTTTTAAATAAAGGAGGTACCCCCGTAATGAATCATCCCAACTGTTCTCCCCTTGCACCCCCAGTACCATCGATGACCCGGAAACGGAAGAAGAAGCGGTTCGCCCAGCAAGCTGTTCACCAGCGACAGGCGGCCAACATGCGGGAACGGAAGCGGATGCAGAGCATCAACGATGCATTCAAATTCCTACATTGCCGTACGAGAAACGCCTGAGCAAAGTGGACACGCTCAAACTCGCCATTGGCTACATCAACTTTTTAGCGGAACTGGTGGAGAATGACAGGTATCCGCCCGAAGCCAATCCGACCCATCAAGAACCGGTCAAGAAGGTCATCATCCAGTGCCACCGAGGTCAGTACCTAATGCGAAATGAAGAAATTGGGCCCTGTTTCTATATGAAGAATCTTTTAAAATAAACATAACTTTAAAGCAAAAATAGGGTAGAGAGACGCAGATAAAATGTCTAACCAAAAAATTTCGCCATGATGGACAACGAATTTCGTTAGACAGGTGAAACCCCGTTATAATAATATTTTTTAAATAAATAAAATCTAAGGTCTCAGCAGAAACATATTATGTATGAGAATTTTACTACAACATATTTTCATGGTTCAATGCGACAAATCGCGTAACTTGAAAGCCAAACTATTGTGAAGAGTTGCGGATAAAACTTTTACCTTAAAATTTCGCAATTGGGACAACGAATTTCTTTACACAGGTGAATTCGCGTTATAATAAATTTAAAAAATGAAAAATCTAAGGTCTCAGCAGAAACATAATATGTATGAGAATTTTTCTACAACATATTTTCATGGTTCGATGCGGCAAATCGCATAACTTGTAAAAGCATAACTTTAAAGCAAAAATGTTGTAACAAGCTGCAGATAAAATGCTTAACGTTAAAATTTCGACATGGACAACGAATTTCGTTACACAGGTGAAACCCCGTTATAATAATTTTTACAAATAAAAAACCCAAGGGCTCAGCAGAAACATAATATGCACAGTAGTATGAGAATTTTACTACTGTACAACATATTTTCATGGTTCAATACGACAAATCGGGCTTCCTGATGAATTTCCCCATTTTTCCAATTTTTTGTCATCATTTTTCTTTCTGATTTTGAAAAATGAGCCAATATGCAGAAATAGACACAGCATATCATGTCTTCTTGCTTTGTACGACAGTGGACCGTGAATTAGGATATATTTTGGAGGGCTTTTGTTACTTTCTTTGTAAGAAAATTTTTATACACCTACTGTACTTGGAAACTGTATTTTTTGTCTGAAAATTGTGAAAAATAATCTAGCCGTCAGAAAAACAATATTGAACTTTAAAACTTTTGAAATAAGAAAATTCCAATGTTTTCATCAGAATCTCGACGACATAATAATTTTTATAACATTTTCTTAAACGAAGAATGCTACAATACCATTTAATAATTTGTTCTTGACCTCGGGGCAATATGAGATTTTCTTCTACTTATGTGTTATTTTTGTGGCCATCAGTGGCGCTGATTTCTTTCGTTTCCTTTCATGTGTGTGTTTACAGGACAATGCGGGGCTTTTGGTGGGCATTCCTTATCTTGGCGAAGTGATAAGGAAAACAACGGCCACGGAACCCGGTTAGTGGCCAAAGTATGGCACCCAGAAGACCCAACTCGGCTTGGAATCCCGAACAACCCGGCATCAACCTCACCTTCCGAACCCGTAACATGTCCTTCTTCCGGTGCGTGCGACAGCAGCAGTGTTACTGACGACATTGACGACGACGCAGTTCAGGGAGCTGAAGAAGAAGAGGATGATGATGATGAAGATGAGGAAGAAGAAGATGACGATGATGATGATGACGATGAAAACCAGTCCTCGTCATTTGAGTCATAACACATTCAGCTTTTTCGTTGTTCATTCCCGCGTGCGAAAAAAAAGGTTACCCATCGGATGGCATTGATTTTTTTGTTTTTGTTTTGTTTTTTTTCGTTCCGTGATGCTAAAAATCGAATATCAAAGGATGCTGGGCATTAATGACAAGTTGACTGTTTTCCAAATGTTTTTCTCTCAATAGTAATGCGATGATGGAAAAGGGATTTGTTTTTGCGTGTTCGTTTGTGACGCAGTCAATCATTGGTTTGCATAAAAAGTGCTTGAAAATGGCTTCTTTTGAGTGTTCATTTTGTCACTTCGTTAATACTGTTCTGTGCCGGTAATTCCGACGTATTTCAGGAGTGTTTGGGTCAATTTAGGCTGAGCTAAATTGGGCTGTGGACATTATAGGTTGTTCGTAGTTGAAGCTCATGAAGAAATTACGAAGGTAATTGTACAGTATATTCTTGAACGTATAAGATTCCATTTACGAGCAGTGAATCGCTATTTTCACATTGAAATCGAACAAAATATTGTTCCTGAGAAAAAAACATGCGAACTCTTCAGAGTCAGGAGAGTTTGCTGATTATCTATACAAGTAATTTTGCTACAGTTAACTTTTTACTTTTTTTAACCACTTCCGAAGAAAATCAAAAATTATAAATCTTGGAAGCTTCAGCGGAAGCAGGTGAGGTTGTATGAATTTTTAATTCTAGGCGATTAGAAAATGAAGCAATTAAGATAATGATACTCCCATCTGGGAAACTAGAAATCAACGAAATATAAGAGACTTTAAGATGCCAATTTCGATCATAAAATCACACGGAATGTGGCCAAGTAAGAAAAAACACTAATACTCGGCAAATTCTCTATCGCGCGAAAAATCACAGTAACGCTAATGATTGGCGAGAAAATGAGTTCAGCAAACAGCGGTGTATCAGTATCACAAAACGGGGGGGGGGGGTGGAGGATGAACCAAAGAAATTGTGGCACGTGACGTCGACAGGTGCTACACACCAAAGCGTTGGTCAACGACGACGAGCCACGCGTCAGTGACAACGCGACAGCGTCGAGTCCTCGTGTCGCCGTTTACGGTAGGCGCCTTTTCCCCTGTTTTACATCCACCGCATCATCATTGCATCCGAGTAAGGGGGGTTAATTGAATATCGTAATTTAGCTCTCTTTTTTTTGCAGGAAAGTTTTTTTATGCAGGGTGCTTTCTAAAAAATAAAGTTTTTGGCTTGAAGAAATACTGTACCCATCCTTGTATGACATTCATCAATGTTGTATAGTGAGACCCCCACATGCGGACACCTTGACTGGCAGACAATTTGACATAAGGACACTTATTTTCCCGGAAAAAATCAATAAATAAGGCCTGACACGAGGACACTGACTCAACATAGGGACATTTTGTGATAAAATTGCAAATAAATTTCAGGCCAAATTACAAGAAACAGATACTGTATTCCCAACCCTGAAATTGATGTAATAAATGTTCTTGGGCATGTCTCTCACCAAATCACCATCCATTTAGCTAATTTTAAAAAATTACCTCCAGCATAGAGGTACTTCTACTTTTTTTCACTTGAATGTCACTTTTGTAGATGCCAAAATTTCAATGTACAGTACAGAGATACACTATTAAATGCTCCAAATGTTCTTATTGAGATGAAAATGTGTTCACTAATTCAAATTCAAGTGGCAAACAATTTGTTTCAGGGAATTCTGACAAATTTTTCTTCCATAAAACACCAATTAAAAATCATATAATGTAAGAGTCTATGGCAGGGGTGCCCAAGATACGGCCCGCGGGCCAGATCTGTCCCGCAGAGGCTTTTCATCTGGCCCGTGGAGCCAGCATGGAAAACCTCCACAAAAATTAAGACCCTCAAAAAGGAAAAATTTCAAGTTTTTCAAGAGGTCTTCAGCCTGCAATTTTGATTAGGAATTTTATTAGGGCTTCATAAATTCTGTTATGATTCCTTCTAGCCAGAAAGAACAGTTTGCATTGCTTTGTGATGCCAGTCATTCTGTTTTTCAGATGAAAGGACAGGGTTTTGCAATTTTCTAATTCAAATCCTACCCCAGCATTTTCTGTTTGTTTTTAATTTAATTGCATATCTTGATGAGGGAAGGATATAAAGCAGCTTAATTTCTTTAATAGCATGAACAAAAGTAGACCATCATGTAAAATGCAAATGTGACGGGATATAGACAAATTTAGAAGGACAATTCAACACTGGGCCAATTGAGATGGAAAATTTGAGTCAGGGTCAACGTGAGACAGGGCTAAGTTGAGACAGAGGGCCAATTTGAGACAAATGGCCAATTTGAGCCAGGGAGATTTAGTGACAGGGACACTTGGAGACATGCTGGACATTTAGATACAAAGACAATTTGATGCTCTCCCCAATCAACTCTGCACAAAATATGTTTCTTTCTTATACACTTTTTTTTTTGTTTTCTCCAGATTCTTAGTGAATATTGAGGAGTTTTCAATTGCACTAAAATTTCAGGTTGTCCTCAGACAACGTGATTATTATTATTCTCAACATTTAAATTCACTCATAGTTTTCAGTTAACACTTACTGCTATTTGACTTTGGTTGAATCTTTTTGGAAAGTTTTGAAGATTGAATTCTATAATTCCATTAAGAAAAATCCAGTCATGAGTAATGAAGATACAAATTTAACTGTATTAGTAAAAATGAAGCAGAAAAGTTTGCAGATGAAAAAAGTCAGATAGCCAGATGATGAAATTCTTGAAATTCTTATTGAACTTGAGTATAGACTAGAACTTGATTGCTAATAAATTAGAATAGTTTAAAGTTAAACCATCCCAGAAATTCATGAATTATACAATGTTCTGGACAACATTTCTTCCTTTTTCCCATTGTGGCCCACATAATGCTCTTCTCCTTCAATGTGGCCCTTGGCCACTTTTGAGTTGGGCACCACTGCTCTATACTGTAACTCGACTTTTCTGGAGGCATTTTGTCGATTAATTTTGTGACCCAGGAAAGAGCTGCGCATTCTTCTGATGCTGTTTGGAAGAAATTGAAAGTGATAGCAGAGAGGAAACTGCCATCATGCAACTCCAGAATTTCCGGCGAATATTTTGTCGTGCTTTAATGCGCGAAGGGATTCAACAAGTGATCCCCTGAAAACGGCCTGAACCGGAAATTGTGGGGATTACTGCACTGCGATCCCTCGATTAATCATCCGCAGCTTTCATTTCCTCTGAATTGCTTCACGCTGCAATATGCGAAATTGTTTTCTCCTCATTCTAACCCCAGCCTCGGAAATGCATTGACCGGAAACAATGAAAAAAATAGGTTGATTGGATTTCACGCAATAAAAAGCAGCACAGTACGTAGATGGTACCTTATGATTGATAATGCGGTATGTGAAGAGACATGAGGCCCATAAATAAACGCGGACGAATAATTTGCACTCGGTGACCCAGAAACACTTCTGGTGCGATGCCCGCAACTTAAATTGTTTTTCTGACAATTTATGCACGACATTTTTATTAAAAAAAATCTTAAAGGGTCTTTATGACGCATAATCAGAAGTCACAATCTTGTTGTAAATATAAATGCTAATTTTTTATTTGTACAAAAATGAGTGTGTCTTATTAAAATTACTGTACCGTTATTTTATTGTACTAGAAATTAGTACAGTAGTACATGAATATTCAGAGGGGAATTTAAGAATACCATCGTAATGTTCAATTTTTTAAAATTGCGTTGCACTTGAGATCCATGTGGAGTACTGTACAAGTTTTGCCATCATCGCAAGAAACAAATTATCCTGCACATGAGAATCAAATGCTTTCAGTTCAGTGAAAACATACTCTTGAATTTTGTAGGAGTTGCTCCACACAAGGCAGACGCATTAACTTTCTAGATTCAATTAAATTTGCATGATTTGAAGTTTGTGTTCGTCTGCGTGACCACGAGACAACTTTTTCGGACAAAAAGAACGAATTCAAATTTAAAATTGACAAAACTTGAAAAAAATTAATCAGGGAAGAAATGTCTTCTGCTGAAACTGAAGGTAAGTGAATTAAATTGAATGCAACACATGTTACATGATGACGTGAACTGAGGAAAACCTACATTGCACCGGAAATAAATCTGAAAACCTTGAAAAAGCGAAAGTTGCCCAATTCAGCTCTAATTTTTTGAACGCGACAGGAAACATTTTTCAGCAAATATTTTGACACCCGTCAACTTTTACCGCACCAAACCAAGGAGCAAATCCTTCGGTGAAAAGAGAGCGAACATTTTTCAACGCGTTATACGCACATGCGTTGAAAGCATGTCCCGTTGTTCATAAATTTCACCTTATAAATATAAAAAAATCTATGGTACGGAAGGGTACTTGAAAAAAAAATGAACTCCTGAGTCCTTCTGACAACAGTCAATGTTCGTTTTTTTGGTATAGTCCAACGCACGACCTTGTTCGCTGAAAAGGCCAACCTCACCCCGACCACCTTTAATTCTAATTATATTGTTCAGTGTGAGTAATAAAAATGAATGAAACCGCACAGTCAAAAGCTAAAATTTTATTATGTTCGAAGCTGTGAAAGAAAATCTTTCATAGCGCATTCCAAGGAAGCCCGCAGCGCTGCTGATTGCTGAACTTCAAAAATTATGGCTTATTTGCATTACAAATTCGAATCGAGGTCCTTTTTGCCTGATATCACACATCACGCTATTTTTATGCAATGCTACTCGAATTGTCATTTCAGGTCATATCTTTTCTCGCCGAAAAAGATCGAAAATCTGTAACATTGTATCTCCTTGTTTTGCGTCGATTTCTTTAACTCTCTGCTACCGTCAAATCATCACATGTAGCCAAGTGGTGAATCAGGAAAACATACTTACGTGAGCATAACTTTTTTGAATAAAACATGGGAATTGTCAGGTATTTGGGAAATATGAAGCTGTTAATACATGATAGACTGCTATAATTTTTATTTACAGTATTGCATGATGAATTAGGATACGAAGGTGCGACCTTCTCGAGTAGACCAGTAAAAATTGTAGCGTGTGACGGACTCGTGGAATTATTGTACCGTACAGTACTGCTACAAGTACTGTACAGTATATTCTGCCCTCAAATGGGAGGAAAACTAGCTGCTGACGTATAAATTCTGGTGAGGGGTCCGGATTTATTAGTAAATTAAAAATTACCGTACTGTGTGTACACGTGTTCATAAAACAATTGCTGGTATGATATTGTTGGGTAAACATGGTACAACTGGACTCACTCCACAAATTGTCTACTGCAATATTCTCCGAGACGAATTGAGTTTCTGGTCCCTGGAGACCTTGCATCTATGCATGAACGGCTCCCGGCCCAAAGGAATAATCCAGCAATGCCAAAGCAGTATCATGAATAATACCAAACTTACTCAAGTACCACAAACTCCTGAATAATTTCCGTACCGTGTCTTTCAAGCAGAAAATAAAAAAATAATAATTTCCTTGAATTCCATTATAATTTGGATTCCAGCATTGTTAATCGTACAACGAAGTTTTTATTCCCGAGGGAGACAAGTTCCCTTGGGATCAGAGTTGAAAAAAATCTTTCATTCAGTGCCCTCAGAACCCACGTCGCAAGAAAGTACTGTACACTTGCCATATGAATAAATTTCTAAAAGTTACGCACGTTTGCTTCTTCTAAAAAATTGGACTTACTTCGGTATTTTTATACTGATTTTTTGGCGCTGATTTTTTCAATTTCTGATTTCTGCGCAAAACTTCGTTCGTACTCTGAGAGTTTTCTCACCGGTTGCTGAGAAGTGTCTTGAATATTACCTGAATATTATGTTGAATATTATACTGATTCGTTCTCTGATGTGTCCCTTGGTGGGTTTTTGCGGTATGAACTACTTTAATACCGTATTTACTCGAGTACCACGCGCCCTCAGGTAATACGCGCAACCCATTTTAGTGACTGGAAAAACTTCATTATTTAAAAAATTAGGGACTTCAGAATTCAAAGTTAGCCCGATTCAACCATTATTCAATCAATATTCAATTGCTTTGATTCTAAATTTTAAAAAGTTACTGTCTAAATTGGTCGAAAATTTCATGTGTGACGCAAACCTAAATTTTAAACTTTAAAAACAATTTTTTACACTGTGTATGATGTCCATCCCCTTCCCCCTTAATTTGAAAAAAAAAGCTGTGCATAGTAATTGCGTTAATT